GGGAACAGATTATCCCTCAGAATGTAGATGTTTCTGATAACAGCACGTTGCAAGAACACATACTGGGTGTCACTTCACACCTTAATATATAGAATTCACTTTGTATAGGATTTATCTAGATGTTTACATAGTTATCTCATTCAGCCTCACCTTTATGAATGTGTGTCTGTTTTCTGTCTCGGGAGTTTTCAAACTTCATGCCAAGGATCCGCCAAAACGATAATCTCTTTCAAGGCATCCACTTGCTGAAACAAAGAAAGGTATATATTTATATGTATTGAGACCCATGTGTGAGACAAACAGTACGGTCTCACAAAGGCAACATTTATGCAAAATTAAGTACATTTCATTTGTATTGTCTGGATTTATATTATGCCAAAACAAAAGAAACTTTTCCTGAAAAGTTGCTTCACTTGCACTATAGCCATAATAACACTATGCACTATAACTCTTTTTTTTCTTTTTGCTGTGAAAGTTCATCATATTTTTCAATATAATCTCTTTAAAACAGAACAGTGAATTGCACACACTATAGAAGTAAATTGCAGTTTTACGGTTTCAGGTATATGATTTACTGCTCGCTTGATGTCACACGGTTATGTGCATGCACTCTACAGTCATTCATACCTCCAGATTAAGGACTCAGCTGACAGAGAAAGCTGATGATCAGTGTCAATATACCAACAAAGCCGGTATGGATTGGTTTGGTTTTGTCAACTTGAAACTGACCCTTTAACCCCAAGTTTGTTCAGCTAGCCTCATGGTTCAGGCCCCAGAGGAAATGCTATAGTATTGAAAGTGTTTACATAATGAGTTTTGTGAGTGTTTCTATTCAATTCGTTTGCTTTCTTTCTACAATAAGACATTCAACACCACCAACAACTGCTGTTTGCTTGAGCTAACGGACGGTAAAATTAGATTAGCAATGGTTAAGACAGAGGAAAACAATATTTACCCACACTTCAGCAGTGTGTGAAATGGAAGAGCTCTGTGTGAATGGATTTAGGATGGCTCATACTCAAAACCAAACAAAAACTTTGTTTAACAGGAACATTCGATTACATCTTAATTTAATAGGGTGACCATATTTTAGTTTTTCAAAAAGAGGACAGTAGGGGGCGGGGACAGAGGCGGGGCTTCACCTAACAGTATACGTAGCAAGTTTTTTTTTGTTTGCTCATTTTGTTTTTATAATAAATAAAAATGAATACAAATAGAAAGAATAGAAAAAAATAGGTAATGCTAGTGTTAGAGAGTCATTTTTAATTAAAAATAAAACATGTCAATAGAACAGAAAAAGAATAGATAATGCAAGTGTTAGGTCATTATTTATAATAAATAAAAAGAAAATAAGTAGAAAGAATAGAGAATGCTAGTGTTAGAGGCTCTTCTTTCTTTATAAATAAAACAAGTAGTTAGAATAGAAATAGAATAGAGAGTGCAAATGTTAGAGGGTCAAGTTTTTTAATAAAAAATTAAGATAAAATTAGAAGTAGCATAGAGTGCTAGGGTCAACTAAAGATGAAAGAGATGTGTTTTCAGCCGTTTCTTGAAAATATTAAGGACTGCTTGGATTGAGTTGGGCAGGTCATTCCACCAGGAGGGAACAGTTAATGTAGAAGTCCATGAACTTTTTATTATAGGCTAGGTAGAATGCAAAATGTTACAATATAAGCATTTCAGTCAAATGTCATTTATGCAATATTTCAAACCTTTAACCCATTTGGGAAAATCAACCCGTGGCAACAGTTTAAAATTAGCCCAATTCTGTGGAAAAAACAGATCTGACTTGGCAACCCTACATCCAACAAGAGCTGCAGGAGTCTGATTTGCCTGATCACATGTCGAGACTCGAGAATAAGGAGAGATGGCTGACAAGCCCATGCTGGAGTATTGCTGCTCAACAGATCCAGGTTATTTTTGAGGAAACAGCGCGCGGTCCAGAAATCCTTCAAATCAACCCATCTGCTGTGAAAAATGATGGAGCCCCGCACATGATTACGTTTTCCCACCATTAAACAGGCATGACATAGCCTATTACTAGAGATCAATACAACTTATTTATCTAATGTCATAATTGCAGTAATTATAGTTTTAATATCTTATATTCACCCACAGGTTCCATTATGAAAACAATGCACTGAAAAAGTTAAACGTAACGTAAAGGCAGCAGGGGCTCAGAGTCGACGTCTGCGGCATCGTTGGAGGCCTAGCTGCGTTCAGACAGTAGCGAGTGAACAAACAGCAACACCTTCTCAGCCAGCATTCTTGACATTCTCCTCGATCACTCAAAGACATGTTTATCTTTCTCTCCTGCTTCCAAATTGCAGGGTAGAGACAGAGAGAGGGAGGGCTTCAGGTGCTCCAGAACAGCTGGCGAGTTGAAGAGAGAGAGAGAGAGAGAGAGAGAGAGAGAGAGAGAGGGAGGAAAAACGTTAAATATCGTTAGTTATGCGATGACTGATTGTGAAGAAGGGAGATTCTGTGTACACACGGTCATAGATAAACTGGTGTGGCTGCATTGTGGAGACCGAGAATAGCACAGCTTTGTTTCCCAGGGAACATCTGAACACACAGTGTCAAGCAAACACAGTGCAGTAAACACAAAACAGCACTCAAATACAAAGCAAACGTGGAACATCCTCACTGCAGTGACACCGGCGCGCGAACAAACGTGTATCATTTTCTGTTTTGAAGGTATGTCATTTATAATATAACAAATGTTCTACTTGCACCGCAGTAAACAAACAAACAAAACGAACATATACACACACACACACATTCTTGATACAGCTCAACAGCGTTATTCATACAAATCTTGATCTTTGCTGCCCTCTGGTGTTTAACCGTAGTAGGGTGTCAATGATTGGCTTCTGGACAACTGTCAGATCAGCAGTCTTCCCCATGATTGTGTAGCTTAGTGAACCAAACTGAGATTTTCTCTTTTACCACCTGCATTATTATGGTGGTTGTCAGTATGTTAAAGGTACAAAACTGATTTTAATAGCAGTGTGAATTGTTGAATTTACTGGTTTACATTCAAATGTTCTTGTTTGTAAATTACAGTTTTATACTGTAAAATGTAGTTTTTGGCCATAAATGTGTTTACAGTTTTTCTGTATTTTTTACAAAATTATTCTGGCAACCACAGCTGCCAAATTATTTTGTAAAAACTACAGTATTTTTTAAAAAGTGTATGTGTGTGTGTGTATATATATATATACACACACACACACCGATATATAGTATTTCAGTCTGGCGAGTAAACAAAAACATATACTAGCCGATGGCGATTCAATTGCCAAGGTGTCCATAGAGGGTTGACTGTATGAAATCAGTTCGTGGTGCAATGTATTTGTTTTGTCCTATCGTATCTATCATATGTTGTTGCCTTATTAAAAAATATGCTATACATTTAAAATAAATGTATTTCAATTTTATAGTATATACTTATATAAATATATTCATTAATGTTTTTAATTAATGGACTTTATAATAATACAAATAGCAGTGTGTAACATTTTGCCATATTTAGTGCAACACTTTTTTGTTCCCCACAAAATATTGTTTTTTCACTAAATGTTTGAATTTCTAAAATTATTGTGCACTGATTTTTCTAGAATAACTTTTGCTGCCGAATTATCCACTAACCTAGTTTATGATACATTTTTGTCAGATTATAAATATACATAGGTCTATATTTTTTCATGTTTATTTTCTTTTTATCATTTATAACTATTTATATTGATACTCGAATCAGGATTTTTAGACATTTATTCAGGGCCTGAATTTCTTTTTGAAAATGGGGGGGGAATTGCCCTCTTAGGTGTCTCTTGAGAGGGGAAGCAGCTTTCAAACAGGAGTCCACTACTGATCTGTGGCTGATTATCACAAACACAACATTTATCCATTATTTTGATTTCAAATCCAAACATTGTCACTGAAAATGCTTTTTCAACATTGTGATTCTTGCTTGCAGCACAGCAATAGACTCAGTGTAGAAACGATCTCTGCACTGCTGCAGACGCTCCGCTACTGGAACGCACTGACGGACCGTAACAGTGTGCAGTGAATGCTTTATTAATCCGTTAACATGAGCGCAGAAAAAATATGCAACGCAAACGGAGTGTGTGTGAACTTGGCATTATGTGTGCGCTGCCAGTGTGCATGAGTGCACGGTCTCCAGGAGAACGGTTAAACACTGGCAAGAATTTTAAAAAAATGAAATTTATAAACTTTATTGACGATGTGACTCTGCCTCGACTGTGCAAGTAGCAATTCCTGTGTCAACTGTGCAGCTCGCTTATATACAGACGCGATGTGTGGTGATTTGAAGCCAATTGCGTATTTTGAGAGAGAAAGAGCGCGCACGGTGATTCACTCAAGCTGTTTGTGAAATTACATCTCACACAAGGTTTTCAAATGACTTTATAAGATATTTAATGAAAAAATATGAAGGCGAATACCTCACCTTCAGTATTATAACTATTTCACCCGCGCCTGACAGAGACTGAGACGGTGCCGCTGCATGTCGTGCCAAACCTCTCACGGCAGCGTCATCAGCTTGAGATCGGTTTTTTGAGAGCTGCCTTTTTTAGAGACCGCCGATCGATCATCCCAACATGATTATCGGCCGATAGTGATTGGTAGCCGATCAATCGGAGCACCCCTACTTTAAAATGTACAATTTTCTTCCGGGGGGCTTCCCGGACCTCCCTAGACGACCTGAGGTCCACCCACCACTGTCTCACAAAATCCTGTGGGAAACACTGAAATATTTGCAAGATAATTCAATTTTATGCAACAAAACTGGGACCTATTCCATAGAGACCTGGCACAGAAATACTGACTGTATTCCATAAAGAAATACTGAATACAAATATTATCACTAGCTTCTTGACAGATGCACATAATTACACTTGATTTCCTGATATAAATATATTGCACACACCCAGCAGAAAGCATAAGTACGGTGCATGACTCAAGTTAACAGATGCACAGCCAGCATCCTAGTTCTACAGTATGAGTGGTTCTGCTTGGATGAATTTGCACAAAGTGCAATGCATGAAAGTCTTAGTTTCATGCACATCACACTCACCAGCTCTGATGTAAAACCAGTTCTCATCGCAGGGAGCCAGCTCTTTATGCTTGGCCAGCTTAACAATGTCAACCCAGTCTGGCACCTTTAGCTTCCCCGACCTGTCAAAACACCAGGGTACAAAATGAGCTTCAGTACACACAGCCAAAACTACTTAATTAAGGTGTCACAAGCTTATAAAAATAAGGATATAATTATTGAACACAAAGACAGTTTAACTGACTTCTTGAGGAAGGCTGCCAGCGCGCGGACAAACTCCTGCTGGTTGACGTCTTTCACGGTTACACCACCGCCTGGCATCTGAAAACCATAATCAATTTTTAATTAAAGTCAGTTATTTTACAGTTCTTTCTAACAACAGAAAGTCACACATAAAACGTTTAGCTAGCTAACATGAATAAGTTATATTTGAGGAAGCCTAGAGGCAGCGTAAAATACACAAAACAAGTCCAAATATTAACCGTTTTTTTGCGTAATTTGATGTTCAGAGGCATCGTATTAGCAACGCGGCTAACGACCGCGTTTATTCTGACGCGGAAAAACACACCATACCACCAAATTCTAGTGACCAACAACAGACTATAAGACTAGCGTTTTAGATCATGCAACGATTTATTGTAATTACTACTAATAACGCCTATTTTTGCAACAACGTAAAGTGACACATGTCGAGAGTACAGCAGGCCTCAGTGCGGCTGCATGGGCGCTGCCATTGAACGCCGGGAATTCATAGCATGCGATCTCATTTTTAATAGTCAAAAAACTGCATTTCTGTATCCTTTTATTGACAGTCTGGCGTTAGTAGGAGTACTGATACATAATACAGTTATTTTACAGTTCTTTCTAACAACAGAAAGTCACACATAAAACGTTTAGCTAGCTAACATGAATAAGTTATATTTGAGGAAGCCTAGAGGCAGCGTAAAATACACAAAACAAGTCCAAATATTAACCGTTTTTTGCGTAATTTGATGTTCAGAGGCATCGTATTAGCAACGCGGCTAACGACCGCGTTTATTCTGACGCGGAAAAACACACCATACCACCAAATTCTAGTGACCAACAACAGACTATAAGACTAGCGTTTTAGATCATGCAACGATTTATTGTAATTACTACTAATAACGCCTATTTTTGCAACAACGTAAAGTGACACATGTCGAGAGTACAGCAGGCCTCAGTGCGGCTGCATGGGCGCTGCCATTGAACGCCGGGAATTCATAGCATGCGATCTCATTTTTAATAGTCAAAAAACTGCATTTCTGTATCCTTTTATTGACAGTCTGGCGTTAGTAGGAGTACTGATACATAATAAGTTGATGGTAGGAGCGAAATCGTGGCAAACTATTCTCATAAGGCACTTTATAACCTAGAAAGCTACGGAGTATGATTTACCTTGCTTGTGGACAGCAAAAAGAAGAGGGACATGCAGGGTTTCCTATGCGTGTTAACAGGGGCGAGTCGCGTTTGTTATCGCGAGATTTAAACGAGCTACAGCGAAGGAGTTCTGTTCAGCTTCACGAAGTATTATGCCAAATGTAAAAACTTTGCCAGAATGTTTTGTGAACAAAAATATAATAACTATTATGTAAATTTAACAGTTATGCAGTTTAGTATAATGTGTGTTCACTTAGGCACACATAAAACATTAAGCTTTGTTTTTCATTTAAGGAAGTTCAGACAAAGTAGCTACGTTTAAATAGACATTTGAGACAAATGACTAAAACATGTTTTTTAATCAATATAAATGGTCTATAACAGAGAGAGTAAATCACAGTGATGGCAAGTATGCCATTAGCCAGCAAAACAGTAGCAACTGTTTAAAGCAGGAGGACCCAAAGAAGAATTGTTAATATAGGCTATTATATAAAGAATCCTTCTTTATATAAGCACATAACTGTATATTGGTATAATTGGGTCCTTAACAACACACTCATGTTCGTATGAAGTGATACATTTGGCAAATGTGATCCACAATTGGCTAATATGTCCTAATATTGGCTAATATGAGTTAATTTTAGGTTGTGATTCAACTGAACTGTTCTTTGTGGATCAGTCATTGTGCTAAATCTTGTGGTTATGGATTAACACTTTGGCCACATGCACACTGCAAAGCTTTGGAAGTGAAGCGCATTGATGTTCAGCGTATAGTGAATAGATATAGTGATGATGGCTATAGCAACAAGAAACACAAGGGTTCCATAGTTCAGTTATTTTTGAACAAACTAAAGTTAGTGTTAGAGTGGTTTTCATTATCAAAATGAAAATACATGTGAGTGCATGTAAGTCTGTAATTTTTTCCCAGCTGTTTCTGAAGGAAGTTTCTCATTTCAGGTAGTGAGAGCTAAACAAATGCCTATGATTTTCAACAGACCAATTAAGGTTTGTTTTGTTTTTTTTATTGCTTTTTTTATGTGTATGATTTCATGCAGTGAGGTAGAAGCTTTTTCCACTATAAAGAACCGTATGTGGTTCCATGAATGTTCTTCATGGAACCATCAATGCCAATAAAGAACCATTATTAGTAGAAGAACCATTTTGGGTTTCACAGAGAATTTTTCAGGGAACAGTTCTTCAAATAAACAATTTTTGTGAAATGGTGAAATTTCTTGTGAAAACCATTTTTAATAATCTTAAGAAGCTTCTGTGCAATGGGTCATGGATTCTTCAGGGAACAATAAATGCCATAAATAACCATTATTTAAACCATACCATTATTTTTAATAATCATTCAAAATAACCACATATTAACCACATATAAACGTGTATATGACTTCCACACAACTTTTGCCACGTCTATTAGCTGCAGCCTGCATGCAGGTGGGACACTGATCAATTCACAGTATGCCCACCACTGCATCCATCACTTTAGACCATGGGTGCCCAATCCTGTTCCAGGAGATCTACCTCCCTGCAAAGTTCAGCTCCAACCCTGATCAAACACACAGGATTGGGCACCCCAGCTTTAGACCAAGGGTGTCTAATCCTGCTCCTGGAGGGCTGATGTCCTGCAGAGAATGACTTCAATACACCTTCCTGGAAGTTTAGTCAGTTAGTCTGCTATTAGCTGGTTCAGGTGTGCTTAATTAGGGATGTAGCTAAACTTTGCAGGACAGTGGCCCCCCAGGAACAGGTTTGAACACCCCTGATATAGCCCTCCATATGGACACTTTTCATATCTCCAGGGTTCTCAGAAACAGAAGACGTTATAGTCGGGTAAACTTGTAATGTAATTTTTGAGTTCCCATTTGCTTTAATAGCAAAAGACAAAATCCACAATAACATTTCTGTGACTTTCCAAAAGAGAGCAAAAAATAGAGATAGATTACATTCATCAGAAGAAAGATGTCACATTTTCTCTCGGTCACTTCCTCAGCTGTTGTTTTAGAAACAAACAGCAACCCATTTTCTTAATGTCAAGGTAAGAAAATACAAAGCATGGTGTTATAAATGTACGTTATTTTTTAAAGGATAATATAAAATAAAATAGACTTACTATGTTAATAACCATTGAAACATGTCATCAAAAGGCATATTGTGCTGGGGGTCAGGGACCCACATTTGATATTTAAACTGTTTAAAACACTGGTTAAATCAGTGCTCTTCAACCCTGCTCCTGGGTTCAACCCACTGTGCTGCAAAGTTTATTTTCAATCTGCCTGTGTATTTTCAAGTGATCCTGAAGAGCTTGATTAGCTGCTTTATAGGTGTGTTTGATTGGCTGAAACTAAACTCTACAGGACATTGGGTTCAAAGGAGCAGGATTTACGAACTCTGGGTTAAACTATTTATTTCTTCATCATGTGACTTTTTCTCATTTAGGGCCATGAATGTGCATGCAAACTTTTGACACATAAATGTGTTTCGGAAAGGCTGTATACATTTTGGTGACAACGACTGTGTTAGAGGTCAAACTGTCCCCCATTGGTTTCTATGCAATTTGCAGAAATCTACTGAAAAAAAGCAAAGAGTCAGGTAAAAAACCTTTACTGTAGCTTGTCAAAGACTAAAACATAAAATACATCAAAACTTAAGACATTTAAGACTTGAAGGTTATTCAAAGAATCTTCAATCACTTCAATTTTCTTTATTCACTTCATTCAGACTCTTCATTCAGTCCTCTGAATCTTCTATTTCTTCATCTATTTGAGTTTCACAGTCAAAAATCTGTAAAATTATGTTTTTAGTTGTTAGTTTTCTGGCTCCCTATTACAAGTCTGTTGCAGCATTGAAAGTAAGTGTGAGAAACCCATTTTTCCTTCACAAGGGTTTGTGAACCAGACAAAACAATAAGGAAGAAATAAATACTATTTACAATCAGTACAAATAATGTTAGTTATTATTTGCACTTTACGGTGCAAATAGTCACTAGTTGGTCTACAAGTATGTGGGTCAAATTGACCACTAACACAAAGGGACTATTTTTTAACAACAGGAGTTCATATTTTATATTCTTTGTCTCTGACAAGCTGTAACAGAGGTTATACATTTTAACATGACGTGAGTGTTTTTCATAGAGGTGATTTTTGGCAAATTGCATGGAAACCAAAGGGGGTAATTTTGACCCCAACACCAATAGTGTGCCCTTATATTCAAAACAACAGGAGGTCTAGAATACTTTCCTAACCTCAAGACTGTCTTGTGAAGGTCATGTTGTGTATTAGTACAACTTTTTTTTTTGCTTAAAGAAAAGCAATGAAGCTGCTTTATTGAACCGTGGTAGAAATTTATCATTTCATACCCTGTTGAGAACTGAATTAGTTCATGTGCATCAACACCTAAACTCCCAAACAGACAAGCTCTTCATCTCCCCTTCATTCTTCTTTCTACCCAATCATTCTGGCCATAACTGTTTACTTTAGAGATAAAGTCCTGGCCTGTGCAAATCTGTGCTGGTGTGTGTCTGTCTCAGACTGTGCATATCTAAAAGTGTATGTGAGCTGAATCTTTATGTGTTCCTGAATGAAATTAATGTAGCCTATTTATGGTGGCGAGGCTGCCCTTTGAACTGGCCAAATGGAATGGGCAATTTTGCTCACACACTTAAATTGATAAGCACACACTGTACTAAAGACAACACCAATAGTGTGCCCTTATATTCAAAACAACAGGAGGTCTAGAATACTTTCCTAACCTCAAGACTGTCTTGTGAAGGTCATGTTGTGTATTAGTACAACTTTTTTTTTTTGCTTAAAGAAAAGCAATGAAGCTGCTTTATTGAACCGTGGTAGAAATCTATCATTTCATACCCTGTTGAGAACTGAATTAGTTCATGTGCATCAACACCTAAACTCCCAAACAGACAAGCTCTTCATCTCCCCTTCATTCTTCTTTCTACCCAATCATTCTGGCCATAACTGTTTACTTTAGAGATAAAGTCCTGGCCTGTGCAAATCTGTGCTGGTGTGTGTCTGTCTCAGACTGTGCATATCTAAAAGTGTATGTGAGCTGAATCTTTATGTGTTCCTGAATGAAATTAATGTAGCCTATTTATGGTGGCGAGGCTGCCCTTTGAACTGGCCAAATGGAATGGGCAATTTTGCTCACACACTTAAATTGATAAGCACACACTGTACTAAAGGGAAAAGTTTAGGTAAAAATGATTTATTATTATGTGTTCGCTCTGTCCATCAGCACACTTGAGACCCACGGAGCGCGTGACAGCATTGGGTGATGGAGGAAACTCTGAGCTGACAGATTCGTATTTATCTTCGCGTCCAATTACAGTATTTCAACAACTTGTTTCTCTCATCTTTTATTCAATTGTAAACGTGCTGGTTTTTTAATTAACACATTTCCTGTTCTTTTCGTCAGTGGAGGGCCGTGAATCCACGAGTGTTTGTGTGTCGTTGGGCTCATAGTTGATTAGCCGGAGAAATTAATTGTGCGGAGAGTGAAGTGCAGAAGCATTACAATGGGAGCGGAACAATGAGACGACTTCTAACTTTTACACCATTAATTATTTAAACTAATAAATTTGTATGAGTGGGGAAAACAATGAAAGAAGAGCAGACCCAGCGGCCCAGCCCATGCTTGTGAGGAGCACTGGATTAAGAGACTGCGCAATTTAGTTAGCCTATATGAAGCACTCACGGGCTTTCTCCGACTGATTACTGTCAGTGGCTGTTGAAAAGGTCAAACTCATTATGATAAATAAACAGGTGTAATATTGAAGCGTTTCGGGGTATATTTTAACAGCTTTTTTTAAAAATCGCAAATATGTATTTTCCATTGTCTGGGCACAAAATGAAATAACCTGTCTATCAGAGCAGTGAAGCAAGTAGCCTACGTGATTGGGTTGTCGTAGTGGCTGTTGATAACGTGCGTGACTTTTCAGGCTTTTCCACACTGTAGTTTGCGATCACATAGCTGTATGGGTGCACTGTCACAACAATCTCCGCTAACCTTTTCAATGTGTAAACCACAAAAGCAATGAGGAATCTTGTGTTTTATTGTCTTCCTGTATCCAGCTCTCTGTCTTAAACC